TATATATATATATATATATATATATATATATAAATATAATCTGCAAACCTTACAGTTTGTGCAGCAGTTTGTTTGCCAAAAATGAAAGGAATGGTTCAAATATGATTTGATTACATTTTAAAATTATTATAAATGAGTTATGCGTTCATTGGATTACCACCATTTTTGAGAATAATTTTGTATTAAATCATAAAACACAGTGCAGAAAAATTAAAACCATTGAATTTCTCATTTCATATGGCATTATTATTATTTATATTGATTTGATTGATCAGATTTGGGCCCTAAGCAGTTTTGCACATGCATGAAAGATGTTCTTCACGAGGGTTTGTGAAAGCTGTAGTGTGTTTGTTGGAAGAAGCTCTTTCCTGAATGTGAGGAAGTGGTGGGCTGTTCAGATCAGACCCCCTCCGAACACTCGAGCCCCTTTTCACAATATACAGAGGGTGGGGCACAGTAAAAGAGGAAATGACTCAATCCCATTGAAAACTCTACTATTACCACACGTTCTGCCATGAGTGTGCACATTTTTTTCAATAAGACACATTAATATTAGAGCGTATGTGTCCAGCTTCTCTGAGACCGGCAGCACATTCACCGTTCTCTGCTCTCCTCTCCCACACAGCTCCATCTTTTATTAATCAGTCTTCCCCCCTACACCCCAGAGTGCTCCATACTTCTCACGGTCGAGGCTCTTTTGAGATTCAAGTGGCTCTTCCGCATAAAAGACGGCGCTTCAAAAGACTTAAAACACAATACAGCGGCCCGCTCACGTGGAGGCCGTTTCTGAACCAGGTTTCACTGTCACGGGTTTGTTACATTTCGCAAATCTCGGCACGCATGTTGCAGCTGACACCCAAACACTGCAGTACAAAATAACGATGGTGTCCTTTAGGGTCGGCTGTTTCGTGTTTAGAGGCTGTGAACTTTGGGTTCCTTGTTTCCTGGTCGGGGTGTGTGCCTTTGCTCTTTCCTCTGATGACATCGTGTGTGTGTGTGTGTGTGTGTGTGTTTGTGTGTGTGTGTGTGTG